ACATGAAATAGTACAAAGTTGGCTAGGGCTGAACTGAACACCAGGCACTCAGCGACCGACATGGCGATATCACTATGCACGTTAAAAATGAACAATCCACTGGACGCTATGCTTTTTCTGTCTCTTTAGACGCTCTGCGATGGGCGTCTAAGGTGCGGGCAACCTTGCTGTTAGGCCTATTTTCAGAAGGGCGAGGAGAGATCGAGAAAAGATAATTGCACTGGATTACATGGAGGATGCTATTCAGGTGGTGTTGATCGTTATGTACATCATTCACCTGCGCTTCGACTGTGGCCCTGTAATTCTGAGCCTTGGAGGACTGAGAGACCTCGCCGAGTGCACATATAAGTTCGATATCACGCATATCGTCTTGCCGTAGCTGACGGGTTAGTTGAGCTGGCACGGCATGAAGGTTAATGAAAAGGGAAGCGAAGTCGATTGGTTGTGGATTGCCTGAAAATACGGTCTGATTAGTGTCTTTAACTACGTGGGAAAGAATCTTGCATTTTCTAGCTCGCACGAGGCGCGCAAAGTCAGGCTTAGGGCGTGTTCGAACGCAATAGCATGAACGAGATAGCTATGCTTCCGCTAGGCACGGAAGGTAAGCGTCGTTCCTTGTGTCTGATATACTGTTGACTGACGCATAGTGTAAGACAGCATACTCTAAGATAGGAGGGATATGACTAACACCTTTCTCACGCTTGTGTACGATTATCTTGACGTACTACTGGCTAGCTTGGGTCGTCCGCAAGCTGTAGCTGGCCTATTTGGCGATAGATCAAAGTGCTGAAATTCGAGATGTGACTGCATTCGTCTGCAACTTGGGTCGCTGATTCTCGCCCTGAAATCGATTAGCCTATATCTGAGAAAGACGGCTGATGAAGCCGACGTGCTTCTAAGTCAGCTGCGAGGAAAACTTCTGAAGACCTTGACAGCGTTCAGCAGGCGATTGGAAAGTTAATATCTGAGACCGCGTCTTTTGCTGAGAAAGAGGTGCTGAAGCAAGTGGAAAGACAGAATGTCAAGGCCAAGTTGGCCGCTGGCCTTGTTCCTAGAGTGGCTGGAAGTATGGTACTTTCGGTGAGAACTGTGTGGCATAAGCTGGATTAAGATGGATTTGGTCGTACGTTAGGAGCCGCAAATTTAAACTAGTCATTTACACTGTAAGGATATAACTGTTGCCGCATTGACCTAATGTTGAGCTAGCAGAGTACAGCCTTTCGTACCATCCCACAAATCACCCGCCTCAGTGTCTACTCTAAGTCATTGTCCCGCTTTCTCCAATTGTGAATCGACACCTTGTTCGAGGCATTTCTCATCTGCTGCTGGCCGCGCAGCGCTGTTGGCCCTCGACATATGTCGAAAGAGAGCCCTAAGGTGAGACAATCCCATACTGCTTCTGGAAGGGCGTCTCCCTCTGCTACAGTCTTTTGGGTGGCCACAAAAGACGGAAGACAAGTGGCAGCGAAACGCAATCATTTGCTCACATTGATCAAAGCTATTATCAGCTTATAATCTTAGCCTGCGATCGTTCATGATATAGAGGACCTGGGAGGACTGCAGGATCAGTCGCAAGAAAAACGAAGAACACGTCATTTCGCAATGCCCCAACCTTTTTGCCTGTAAATCTTGCTAAGGAGAAAACGAGAACATGCGGACGTGAAGGGGCCCGGGGGGGGNGGGGGGGGTCACCAGAAGTCAGCGTTAAAGTAGGATAGTTGTAAGTAATTGAGTGGTGCTACAGCATCGGAAGGCAGAGGCCGATTGCAAACATTCTCACGGGAACTTTTAGGATGGAGCCTGGTTGAGAAACACGGACTACAGCTATTGAGGAGCCTATGATGGCCTCGGCTCTGTGGGAATCTCGTAGCTGATTCTGTTAGAGTTACGTATAGTTATGAGACCTCTAGATATTATACACTATGCATTGCGGGGGGTAGAGGGAATTCTAAGTTTTAGGCTTCGTTGCGTCTCCTAACTACTTAATGTTTTTTTAAGGCGTACATTCGGACCTTGCATTTGTCACACATAGGACTATATGCTTATTGCTGGCATTTCCTGCCTACTCGTCCTTTGATTACTTTGTGGACGACTGCTTTGCTTTTTCCTTGTCTTCCTTCTTTTCGTCGCCCTAGTTTAAAGTCTTGTAGTAAAGATGTAAGGAACCTCTTACCCTTCTCGGCCTCCTGTGTGTCTATCTGATGCTTATCCTGGAGTGTAGAATTGCGAAATGCGTCGAAATCTTACTAGACTAGAACTGCTGAGCACGTCTGCTGCGTATTAATAAGGTCTATAATATCGATAAGAGTGCTCTTTAGGCTGTTATTGCACTCGTTAATAGAGTCGCTTAGGGGTAAGCTGACCTCATGGCATAGATCTTGGTAGGCCTTCAGCTGCTGCTCCTCGATGAGTTGTTTCGTCTGCTTGTTATTGTTGATGATAAGTGGCGTTGAGGGGAAGTAGTGCGACTTTAACTCCTCCTGTATGTTAATGGTGCGTTCCTGTTGTAAGCTGGGAAGCCATTCTTGAGATGACGCTAGGCGTGCAAACTTGTGGTCGAAGGACGCACTCTCGTTGGTAGTACGACACGATGTTGGTCGCGACGCGCGATGGGGACCGTGTTTACGGCATTAAGGGGCCGGCTCATTGCCAGTGGAGAACAACTATCCCAAATGGGTAATCTTGCGGTCCACGCCGAGGAAGTCCAATGCGTGCCCGCGTAAAACCATGCAGCGCGGCTTTCCAGCTAGTTCACAGCCTGTACTTTCAGTTGAACCACCAGTGTACATGCTACCCCCGCACGACGTGGGAAAGATTATCGCTTGGCCAAGCTCAGCAGCGACGGCACAGGGCAACCGAGGCCGCCGAGTGCACCCCAGGGCTGTCTCCCGCCCAGCGGCTCGGCATGAAATGTGCAGCCCATCGACGACGTCAAACCCGACGCGCTTCAAGAGCGGGGCGTCTCTTCAACTTAGGCCGTACTCAAGCTCGCTGCTTGCGAAGAATCCAACGCAGGCAGGCAGGCATAAAAAAGCATATTCCTATCAAGGGTAAGGAAGCTGCTCGTTGCAAGAAATGTTTCCGACTCCGCTGCAGATAGATGTCAGGGTTGTCTGTTACGCGCTGTTCAGTATAGCGGGAAGACAGGGTAATTCCACTAAACGGAACTAGTTCTCATCCCTTATATTAGTAGACTTCTTTAATTACTTATAAATATATGATCAAAAAAGCAGAGGCTGCGATATCAAAGTCATGTGGCCGGGATTCAGGCCCTATCTTGAGAAACTTGACGCGAGTCCATCTACTGACGTGCTCTTTGACAAAGCTGTCCCAGAGTCATATCTCAGTCGTGAGTAAAGGACGGCGCAGAGAGTAGGACGCAGTTATCTTTGCGTTCAGCGAAAGGATGTCGCGTCGTGCTCTCGCTGTATCAAAGTTTCCGCGCATATTGAACCCCAATTGAGATCGAGGCTCATGCGTGATCGTTTATTGGGAATGCTCGATAATGGGGGAAAACCTCGAAGACGGCGCAGCCACGCTGTATCTCAGATGCACAACTAGGGACAGCTTGTCGCCTACGCGCCGACGCCCCAGACCTTTCAAGCCCCTATATAATCAATCTGGCCAGTCGAAATTACGATTTGTCCATCCTTGATACGCATGTTTGGCCAGCCTGCGCCTGAGTGCGATTGGCTTCGCATGCAAAAACGCACAAGGGCGTTCATAGCATCGATAGAGCCACGATGACAGACCCTACCAGGCGGGATGTGAACCTAAGGGGCACCGTCCGCTAGCAAGGCATGGTGTCTCCTGCCTAACATAAGCCGTCCGGGCGGCATTACTCACGGCTGACTTGCACCTGGAGAAGGGCGGCGTTCTAAGGTAGGCATACCTCGAGCCAGTGCACAGCCCGCACACTGCGTCCAATGCCACTATCAGACAGCGGAAGCGCAAGAGAGCAGCGCAGGGGGCGGGGGACCAATCGCCTAGGTCAAGCCGCGGGACCACTCCGGACACGTACGGCTTCGGATCCGCACCACGTCCGGACTATGCAAGCTGGGAGTCCGGTTGACTAAACACGCAAGAAGGGATGGGGGCGGGGAGACAGACGCGGGGCCGAGGGCAGTGAAGCAATCACCCACAGAACGATGAACTGCGCGGATGGTGAATACATACGCATAATGCGATAGCTCATGTCAGGCAAGCCCTCGCATCTTGGGTTTTAGCCCTGTCAACAGCGTCGAATATGCCCAGCGTTCGCCTGAGTCCAACGGCCGAAGGCAAAGAAACGAGAAGCTCGATCTTGTTCGACCGATATGTCTTGTGTTCACCGAACCTATCGTCTTTGTAGCGTCCATGTTAAGCGCAGTGGCGTTCGGGCTCATCTACCTCTTCACCGACGTGTTTGCTCTTGTGTACGAACAGCTTAACATGTCCAGTGGACAGAGCATATTGCCTCTAGTGGCAATTGGACTCGGGCTGGCGTTGAGCACCCTTACGCGCTTCTATGATCGACACATACTTACGAAACAAGTCAAGAAACCAGCCGTAATCGCCAGCAAGTCGAAGGGTATCGGGTTCATTATCGGAGCTTTCTTACTCGCTTCCAGTCTTGAGTGGTTCGCATGGACGATTCCGCTACAGTTTCCATTGTTCGGTAGGGTTATGTTCGAGTCTCTCGACTTCAATATGGCGACGAGTGTCTTTGCTGTAGTAGCGACTATCATCTGTCTGGTGCCTCTTCTGGTAATAAAGCATGGAGCGCGGCTGAGAGAGAATTCGTCAGGTAGATCGGGTGATCTAATGTAAGCTGATGTACGAGGGCTGATCGTGGCTGGAGAGAGCCATTGAAAGTGAAAGGCCCTTCAATTTCGTAACAAACACTGAGGCGGTCTTAAATGATACCCAACCATACAAGCCAAATCTTAGCGTTCTACCCGGCTATCATCGTCCTTCCCCCATCTCTTGTGAGCCGAGAACGTATTTGGATGGCAGTCGGCTCATTCGCATTCCAGCAAAGACCGTCGCGCCCAGTGCCCTGCGAGCACTCTATCAGCGCATTGGGTGCAAATACGAGACCCTGCCCTATACGTAAAGCCACGATCCTCTGGAACAAGCCCATCACAACACCTATCTGCCCGGGTGTAGCTATATTCGCCCCATCCACCAGGACGTCGTCTTTGTTCGCGAGATGACGGCGTAGGGTCCGTAGCCAATCGGGTAACGCAAAACGGTCGACAATCGTCATAGTGCATAAGCGCAAAAGTTTCAGCAATAATTTAGGTTCTTGCTTCGATATAAATATCTGCACTCTGAGGTGTTGGCGATAGCGAACCGCCCGCAACAGCGAATTTATAAGGACTAGCTTTCTCCGACTGCCCAGGATACTTATACGCCTCGTTAAGCGCCACGATGCGACCAATATCCGACTTCTGCTCTGAGAAGAGAGAGGGACAGATATTAAAGAGGAGGCATGCTATTTCTAGTGTGACGTATACACAGGAGAGATCAATAATAGTAAGCAGCCTAGCCTTAACGATAGGTCAGCTATTACAAAGACAACACTCAGATGATACCACCACGCTATTAACGCCCAAAGGACCTCCTCGTCAGATAAAGCCTTTCTCTTAACTATAAAACTCTTAAGTGTCTCAAGACGCTATCGCAAAGAACTTTACTACCCCCCATAAAAACTTTTCCCGCGTGAGGGCTGTTTTAAACTTAGCGTAGGCGAATTAACAGCCGTTTTCCTACTGCTCTAGTCTGATCTCTCGAAGTATACGCTGCACCACCTGGTGATAGAGCCACTTGGTACCTTTTTGAAATGCTATAAGGCCTAGCATTCTGCTGGAGTTGAGGTTGGAACCGCCGCTAATCTTGATCTATGGATGGATTTGACGTCGACTTGGGGAATGCCGCTATAGACCTTTTGAAACCAGCAACCTTTGTCGGTCGCCGACCATTAGACGCGAATGTACCTTAAGACAACATCAATACCTTTACAGTGCGGAAGCTCGTCAGCGCGCAGAGAACGCGAACCGTTGTCAGCATGGGAGGCAAGGAAAGCCGCCTCGCACGGAAGACCGCCATCGTCAGACGCAAAAGTATCGCAGTGAAACATAATACTGGCGAGTGGATGAGGCGACTTTCCTAGATCGCTGGGTATTAGGAATTTATATAGAAGGCATGCCAGGGTATTGCTTTTTACTTACTATTAACTATAGCAAATAAAGATGCTAGATGGACAGCTAACATTATAGAAGATGCGTGATTTCTTTAACGGTCGGCTATCCCCTAACAGTATCCCGCGCAGAAGGCTAAATTATAGAGAAAGCGACCGTTAAAGCGTCCTTATAAGAAGCAGAGGGTTTAAGTTGATCTCATTTTGCTCTCAGCTGGGGGTGTGGCTGAGGAATTGCGTGTGCTGGTATCGTGAGGGTAGGCTAATTAGAGAGACTATAGTACACTAGCGGTCTAACAAACGAACACACCTCGCTAGACCGTTCTATATAAACGGAAGCACTGAGAGACCGCGCAGCAAGAGATCATAAATCTGCCGCTCTAAAGCTAGTAAACACAATCTGAGAGGTTAATCGCCCTCCAAGGGCATAGTTAGCGCTGCATACTAATCAAATAAGTTAAATCTAAGGCTTCGACTTAACTATTTAACTTAAAGATTATAACGAACTTAACTAATTAATAGATTTAAACTTAACTTACTAGATTTAATATAAAATTACCTAATTAGGAAATTAGTAATACTATTATAAGGTCTTTAGGGGTTAGATATATATACTATATAGTAATTTAAGGTTATATTAACCCTATTAACCCCTCTTTATATATATATAGCTACTAATAGTAACTTAGCTACTTTAAACCTAATTCTAGAGGTATTAGGTCCTCTTAAGTAGAGATAGCTTTATTAATAGCCTCTACGAAGTTAGTATAAGCTTAGTAAGGCTAAATACCCTCTTATAGTTTATTACTATCACTAAGATAGCGAAGATATTAATAGTAAGTCTACTAAGGGTTAAGAAGGTCTAATAATATAAAATCTACTACTTAATAGGGTTATTAATAGATTAAATAATTAATAGACGATAGTATTAATCTAGCTTAGAGGCCCTATTATTAATAGCCCCCTAAGTCTTACTAGCTAACTATTAGCTATATTTAGAGTTTTTATAGCATAATACTATTAAGATTAATATAAAAAAACCCTCTAAGGGTATTAGAAGTATTAAGGTAGGGGCTACCTTATAATACTACTATTCCTAGTACTCATAAAGACCTTACTTAGTATTAGTAACCTAAGAGCTTATTTCTAGTATATCTTAATACTACTTAAGCTATTATAAGCCTCGCTTAAAATATAAAATCATAGTAGTAGTATAGATAGATAACTCTCTAAGCTTAGTATAATACTTATTAAGTACCTTCTAACTATTAATAATAGAGATATATAAGTAGACGTTAAAGTTAAAGTTAACCTCACTTTAAAAGCCTTAAGACTTATACTTAGAGTAGGTATAGGTAGGGATACTATTAATTAATAAGGTTTATAAAGATATTACTAATTAACGCGAAGATTACTATAATAACCTTATATACTAAGTTAACTATAATAATTAACTCTATGAGGCTATTTAATTAATCTCTTTATTAATAAGGATATTATATAACTTCTATTAGTCCTCTAACTTATCTAAGAGGTACTTTATACTTATAAGAACCTCCTAGAGTTAGCTATACCTATTACTTTTACTTTAGCCCTTATATTACTTAGTTTATCTATAGAGAGGTTTAAGAATATTATTAAGCTTAATAAGGATATATTAATCCTTATTAGAGAGGTAATCCTTATTAAGGAGATAGTTTACTAAGTTATAAAGAAACTTATTATTATATATAAAGGTATTAATCTAGCTATATTTAAGTAAGGCTTTTTAGATTATTATATATATTAAGTTCTATCTTATAGTATTATTTAGTATTAAGTTAAGCTTTTAAAATAACTCTTTAAAAATTATAAATATATTAGATTAATTATTAACTTTATTATTAAACTCTAAAAACTTCTCTATATATTAAGGTAATAATCTGATATACTTAATAATATTACTAAGTTTACTAATAGGTCCTTTACTCCTCTAGAGCGCTATATCTACCTCTAAGTTACTAGTATTAATAAGATACTTAGATTAATCCTCAAAAATATCTTAATTAATACTATAGATAATAGCTTAACTAATTAGATTAAAGATATAACTATAGTATTAAATCTATTAATAGATAATATCTTTTTTGTTATATAATAGTGAGATAGATAGGTAGAGCGCTTTAATATAAGTATTATTATTTATAGTATTATTATAAACTATAAGCTTAATTTAGTTAAATATTCTAAAGTTATTAATAACTATATATAAGGTAGGGGTAATATTAACACTTAAGTAAGTACTAAGTTAATAATAGAGGGCTAAGAGGTATTATATCTACTTACCTAATTTATTAATAAAGTAGCTAAAGATAGTAATAATTATATATTAATTAAGGGAAGTCTATAAGTTAAATAATAGATATATTTAGCTAAAGGTATCCTATATCTCCTACTTAATCTATACTATCTTAGATATATATAAGTAATTAAGTTAAAGCTTTATACTTTCTCTAGACTAATAGACTTAGTTACTAATATTATAATTAAATAGATAGAGGATATACTAAATATATTAGTTACTAAATATTATAAATAGGTTATTTATATTAATAAGGTAGCCTATAGTAAGCTTTTTAATCTAGTAGACTTTTAACTTAAGTATAATAACTATAATAGAGTAGTAGTACTTTAGAGGTAAGCTTATATTATTAGAGTTACCTCTAACTTTAGAACTTCTCTACTTAATATAATATATTATCTTAAGATAGTTAATAGTAGTAGTTATAGTAGAGGTATTAAAAGGCTTATTAATACTACTAGCTTTATTATAATAGTAGTAGACTTAATATATATTACCTTTATAGAGTATTAATATAAAAATAAGTAGGTATTATAAGTAGTATACTAAGTTAGTTATTAAGTAGAAGTTTATAAATAAAGAAGCCCTTATTTCTAATCTAAGAGGTATAGCTATAAGACCCCTTTTTTAAGATTAACTTAGTATTAAGGAAGGTCCTATTCTTCTACTTAGCTTAAGGTAGGGCTTATAGAGAGTCTCTTATGCTTAGGTTAGCACTTAATATATTATTAGTAGTTAAGGTAGTATATAGTTAAGTAGTAATATTATGAGGCGCTAGTAATAGAGTAATACTAATAAAATAATTAAGATATTAGCTAATATTAAGTAGAGGTATTATAAGGGTAAGTAAGGCGTTAATAGAGGTATTAAAAGAGTATATAGATAAGTAGGGCTTTAAGAGATTAATTAGTAGTAGTAATAGTAGTAGTAGTAGTAGTAGTATTAGTAGTAATATTAAAAAAAGGTTATTTTTAAAGGCTAATATAAGAGTTAAAAATAGGTTTTTTTTAAGCTCTAATAAGGGGACTAAAAATATATTAATCTAGTAGTATAGTAAAAAGCGTATTTCTAGTACTTCTAGTACTTCTTAGTAGTACTAGCCTTATTATTAAGAAATACTTAGTCCTACTCTACTACCTATTAACTTAAAGGTATTACTAAACTAATATTTATAACTACTTACCCTCTTTTTTTTTAGAGATATATTATAATAAGACCTAATAAGCTAGTAGTAAGTCTACTATATAAGTAATTATAGAGATATTAGTTTAAAACTAGCTTAGGTTATCTACTTTAAATATAAAAGTTATAAAGGTTATAACCTTAAGTAATTAGAATAAAGCTAAGTACTAAAATATCTAGGTAGGCTTTTTTTATTTTTTAAAAAATCTTTTAAAAATTATAATTAATCTAGAGGCTAAACTTTCCCTTTTTCTAGTTAACCTCTAACTTATTTAAGTTAACTAAGTTAATAGTAATAGTAACTTAGCTATTTAAATATCTAAATAGCCTCAATTTAATTAGCTATTTAATTAACTTATTTAAATAGACTTAGTTTAGGTGTAGCGCTAAGCATAGTTATACTTTTTAGCAGAGAAAGTCTAACTATACCTTTTAAAGCGCTACTAGTAAAAGCAGGTAGCTAAAATCCCAGAGCTTTCAGCCACAGCCGATTTCTATCCAGAATCAATATCAGCAGCGCTAACTTAAGGTGTTTCGTCAACATAAAACCT